GAGATACACTTTCCCAGGGTCTTGTTGGCACAGGTAGAGGTTCCAAGAGTCCTGAGACTTTGGCTTTCTCGACTTTGTCCTGTTGGCAGATGAGGCACGTCTTGGTGTATTGCATGATGTCGTCTCGCATGTTCGACCAGAAGTACCCCTTCTTTATTAGGGCATATGTTCTTTGCCACTCCGGGTGTCCGACCCATAAGGTATCATGACATTTCTGAATGAGCTTCTTCCTCAGTTCTCCCGTTCTTGGGACATACAATCTGTTTCCTTTGGTCATCAGAAGATCTCCCTCAACCCAAAATTGTCGTGTTTTTCCAGCTTTAGCTAGTTCGACGACGGCTTTGGCCGATGGGTCTTTATGTAACTGTTCCTTGATGATGTCGCGCATCGATCCATCGATCTTACTTGTATGAATATGGGCTAACATGCACAGGGTCGCATGTTCGCCCTTCCGACTCAGCGCGTCGGCTGCTTGATTACTCTTTCCTGCTTTGTGTTCGAATTTGAAGTCGAATTCGACCAACGACTCCTGCCACTGGGCTTGTTTTGCCGTTAATTTTGGTTGATCAAAGAAGTGGCAAATGGCGCTGTTATTCGTCTTCACTACGAACTGTGAGCCTAAGAGATACTGTCTCCAGACTCGAAGGCAGTGGATTACAACCAACATTTCTTTCTCGGAGACAGTGTATCTCCGTTCGGCATCGTTGAGCTTTCGACTCTCGTAAGCGATGGGGTGGCCTTCCTGAATGAGGACCCCACCTAGAGCAAAGTCGGAAGCATCTGTTTCTATTTCAAATGGCTTTGTAACATCTACCCACCCGAGGACAGGACCCCTCGTCATGGTTGTTTTTAGATTTTCAAAGGTCATTTGACAATCGTTCGACCACGACCAAGGGTGGTCTTTCTTCAACAGCTCTGTCAATGGGGCGGCTCGTCGTGAAAACCCTTCGACGAACCGCCTATAGTAATTGGCCAATCCTAAGAAGGACCGCACTTTGGATACGGAAGTAGGAACTTTTCATTCTTGGATAGCTTTTATCTTGTCGCTATTCATACTAATTTGTCCACATTTGACGACATGTCCAAGGAAGTTGATGCATGTTTGTGCGAATGCACTTTTCTCCTTCTTCACATACAATTGGTTCTGCCGTAGCTTGTCAAACACCAGCTTCAAGTGCACTTTGTGTTCCTCTAGGGTTGTGCTGTAAACAACGATGTCGTCGAGGTATACTATGACGAACTGATCCAAGTATTCGTAGAAAACCTAGTTCATCAACGTGCAGAACGTAGCTGGGGCGTTTGTCAAGCCAAAGGGCATTACTAGGAATTCAAAGGCCTCATATCTTGTTACGCACGTCGTCTTTGGTTCGTCTCCTTCGGCAATACGTACTTGGTAATACCCTGATCGTAAGTTCAACTTCGTGAAGTACTTGGCCCTGTGAAGTTGGTCGAACAAGTTGGATATTATCGGCAACGGATATTTGTTGCATACCGTCACCTTGTTTAAGACTCTATAGTCTATGCACAGACGCAACGTCCCATCCTTCTTCTTCTGGAACAGTACGGAGGCTCCGTAAGGTGCCTTTGTCGGGCGAATGAATCCCGCCTTCAGCAACTCATCCAGTTGTTTCCTCAACTCGGCTAGCTCGGGTGGAGCCATCCGGTATGCGTTCTTCGCTGGCGGTTTAACCCCGGGGAGGAGTTCGATTTCATGGTCAATGCCTCGACGAGGTGGTAGTGTTTGGGGTAGACTCTCTGGCATTATGTCGGTATAACTATTTAGTACTTCCTTGATTTCCTCTGGGACAGTCTCTTCGGTGGTCACTTCTTCCATCAGTGGTATGGCCATGAATGTAGGTTCCTCTCGTGCGAGTCCCCTTTTCAGTTGTATGGCCGAGATCATCCGAAGATTACCTGGTTGCTTGATGCTTGCAGGTATTACTGTGGGGTTGCGGTCGGTGATCACCAAGCATTTTGCCAATGGCATTGGGATGACTTGTGTTCTAGGAGAAACTTCATCCCAAGTACCACGTCGAAGTCATCTATGCGAACTACGACAAGGTCTAACTCTCCAGTCCAATCCCCTATTTTGAAGGGGACTCCTTTGGAAACTCCCACAATAGGCAAGACCTCGGAGTTGACAGCTTTCATTTTCCCCGGGTCCTTTCCTATGGTGAGTCCCAATCTTCGGGCTTCTTGATCGGCAATGAAGTTGTGGGTTGCTCCATAGTCTATCAGAGTGCTCTTGCTCGGTCGAGAATTTATTGTCGCATCCACGAACATGAGCCCTTTCTCTATTATCTTCTTCGGTTCGACTTTCCGTTGGAGGGCTGACAAGAATTTGAGCGCGCCTATTCGGGGTTGTCATGATCTTCCTTCTTGTCTAGCATAGTCTCGACCCTTGCCTCATTGCTCTCTTGAATGGACACTTGGAGCGCAGTGAGAGAGGCCCGATGAGGACAGTAGGATACTTTGTGGGGACCTTTACACAACATGCATTGTAAAGACGTCGTCGGGTGGTTCTTTTGATGGCAAGGCCCTCGAGATGTCCCCGCTTGATTGTTTTGGGGAAGTCTATCTGTCCATCCGCTCGGTCTGTTGGGACTTCCATTTCGATGTGGTGGCTTGTATGTTTTGCCCCCAGTGTTTGGGGCCGACGTCGATCTTCTTTGGGATCCTGCTTCGTTCCCACAGTCTACGAGTCTCTCGGCGTAGGCCATTGCGGCAGCTAGGGTTTGGATCTTGTTCTCATGTATCTTTGTTTTGGCCCACGGCTGTAACCCATTTATAAAGAAGAACACCTTGTCATTCTCTGCTGTGCCCCTGATATCTAGCATCAGGGTTGAGAACTGTCTGACATAGTCCCGTATGCTTCCAGTATGTTTCAGGGCTACTATTTTCTCCATTGCTACATGTCCCGCGTTTTCGGGGAGGAATTGTTCCCTCAACTCTCTCTTGAGGTCCTCCCATGAGTCAATGGTGCACAATCCATCCTTGATGTCTTGCACCTTCGTACGCCACCATAGTTTGGCGTCGTCTACGAGATACATCGAGGCTACAGTCACCTTCTTGTCGTCAGTACAAGCCGTTGTGGCTTTGAAGTACTGCTCGACATCAAAGATGAAGTTTTCCAACTCCTTGGCGTCCCGATTCCCTTTGAAGGCTATAGGGTCTGGGAACCTTAGTTTGTTGTATCCTGTATTACTTTGCCCAGCTGTGACGCCTTCCACGGCTTTCATGGTCACTTCAATTCGAGTGCTCATGGAGGCCATCTTTTCTTGGATGTCGTCGATGGTTGTTCTGAATTCATCAGCTAATCCATTGAACAAACTCATCATTGTGTTTTGTAGTACGTCGAACTCTTCGCCACGTCCCTCTTTGTGCGCGACAGAGCTATCCGGACTACCAGACGATTTTGGGCTGCTCGTAGGAGCAACTCTTTCTTCGAGTGAGGTCACTCGAAACATCAGTTCTGCGATTGGCAACCCATCCAGGCAGTTGCCCATTGCGTCGACTTCTACGACTTTCTCACTCAATTCGGTCACCCGTTTTTCCAAGAAACGGAGGGTGTCAGGGACTTCTTTGAGGAACAACATTTCCTCCTCTATTAGCGTAAGCTGGTCGGCTTGTGCTTTGGGTGTCGACTTTGTCGTCGACATGATCTTGGTCTTTATGATGTTACGGAGCTAACAAAGCTCTGATACCACTTGACACAATCGCACTTTCGAAGGCAGCGGACTAGTGATTGTGCGGCACTCACTTTCCAGCGACAAGTGAGCTAAGCCAATTTGTTCTTTCGTCGCCTTCGGCCAAGCGACGTACGATCGAGCCTCTAGCCTCGGTTTTAAAAGAAGGTTTTAGAAAACGAGGAGAGAGAGAGATTTTAGAAAGAGAGATTTTGGAAAGAGACGTTATATAAGCAAGCAAGAGAAAGATAACAACGGCTTAGCATATATAACCTTGGGTAGGGAGAAGTTGACAACTAGTCATATCCCCCTATAGTACATTCTGAGTCATTTTAGGTTTGACAGACCTAGACATGATATTTTTGAGGTGTCATACACCTTAGAATTACAAAAGGGAAAACACTAGAATGAAAAGACATGACAAGGGTTTGGCTTGTCATGGGCATGCGACCATGGGCAACACGTCCTGGACGAGCATGACCGTGACACCCTACACACCCCTCGCGCTCACCTGCACACCCTACACGCCCCCGCACACCCCCCTACCGCACACCAAATTTTTTCAACCAAAACAACCTTCATCAAATAATGAACTCAACCTGACCATAAAGCGAATCAACTTGTTTTTTTTTTATTTTTAGTCCACTTTTTTAGCCATGTTTTATTTTATTGAAATTAATGACTTGGTGAAGATTGTTACAACATTAATTAGTGGGCGATTTAACATAAATTAAACTTAAAAGATCAAATTTGTAACATATATTTAAGTTTTAAAGCCTAATTTAATGAAATTAAAAATGTAGGATCCAAATGGATAAAAACGAAGTGTAGAGGTCAAATTTATTTATTTAAAAATTACAATGAAAAATAACGTTATATTTTAAGTTTTTCAGTATTTTTAATACATGTTTGATGACAGATATAAATTATTATCAATTAAAATTTTTATGAACATATTTTATGTTAATTGTACAATTATATAACTTATAATGTATTGTGTTATAACTGTTTTAATTTTAACCATTTTTTTTTATAATATAGAATTAATATATTTATAAAAAAAATTCATATTTTTTAATGTTAAAATTTTAAATTCTTTAAATTTTTTATTAATTTGTTCACAAGATCCAAAGCATTAAATAAAATGCCAAATAAATATTTGTGTTAAATCCATTTAATTTAATGTATTTGAAAATCTGCATAAAACACCAAAAAATGATTTTTTAACACAAAAATCCAATTTTATAAATTTCATATGGTACAATGTTTTATAATTAATTAATGCATAAAATAAAAAGTGAGCTAAAAAAAAGGAAAAAAAAGCAAAGAAAAAAATAAGCAAGGAATCTAAAACCATCTCTTCATCCTCTTAAACAAAAACCCAGCTGCTCTGCTGATTCAATCGCTTCCCGCCGATCTCTTTGGTATTTTCCGATTCGTTCATTTCCGGTCTCAATTCAATTCGTCGTTTCAATTTCTTCTCTCTTTCATGATCTCAACCTGATCGATTTACACTTACGGATTGATTACCAGATGGTCCACGTTTGCGAATCTTCGAATTGAGCAGCAGAGTTGAGAAAGATGTTGAGATTCCAAGTGGGCGGGAAGGTGGTCGAGAGAGTTGACTTGTTGAGGAAGGAACACTGGACATGGCGGTTGGATCTGTGGCCATTCGCCATTCTTTATGTGGCCTGGCTTGCTGTCGTGGTTCCTAGTATAGACTTTGGGGATGCTGTCATTGTTTTAGGTGGACTGGCGGCTCTTCATGTTTTGGTCTTGCTTTTCACTGCTTGGTCGGTTGATTTCAAATGTTTTGTTCAGTACAGTCAGGTGCCGTTCTACAACCATCATTCTTTTCTTTCGTTGGTTTCGTACTTGCATTTGATGATGCTTATGCATTGCCATTACATTGGAGACGTAGACTTGTCATGTTGTTGCCTGCAGTATGTTTAGCTGCATATGTGCAGCATAACTGTGAAATATCTCTTTTTCTATCTTTCTATGTTTCTGCTGGATTTGAGGGTGTATATTCAATAGTTCGACTTTCAGTAGGAGTTTACAAATTACCCATTTTCTCTGATTGAATTTCATGGAGCTTGGTTGGAAATTCGAATCCCTGTTCTTTGATTGAGTACTTTTCCCATTGAATAGTCTTTCATATATTTCTATCCATAGTCCCCAATCGATTGCATTTTCAGCATTAGTGCATGGAATCTTCACACTTTTGCCTATCTCTGGTTACCAGTTTAGAGATATTACCCTTGATTGAGTGGTCACCATGAAAATTTGGAACACTGGATGAGTGTCTAAATCTTATTGCTTAATCAACGAAGAGAGTGATTTGAGCTTGATCGTTCCTATTTCTCATACAGATAACGCACAACTTGGATTTAAAGCCATGTTTTCACATAGGTAATTTAGTCTATCATTGTATATGATTTATTAACGCTTTCATGGTTGAGCGTCCAGATCAAAATTTAACCTCCTTAGAAAATTCCCTTCCAATCTGCCTAAGGAACGTTTTTATTAACCACCATTATTACACCAGTTAACTTCTGTTAGTCTGTGCATAGAACCCTGATGGTGTTGTTTTGCTTAACTTTTGCTTATTCTTCCTCCTTCTCTCTCCCCGCATGTGTTGAACTATTTTAAATGAGTTTGAACTTCCCTTGTGTCTACCTAGAGTTGATGATTGGCTGATGCAAATTCTGCTGGGGAATGGGGATGCATTTTGATGGTAAGTCTTAGGTCCTTTGGATGTTTGCAGTGAGAGCTACCCTTTGGTTAACATGGAAGGAGTGGAACCTTAGAATTTTTGAGGTGAAGGTGAATACTCAGGGTTCTTTTGTGTATGTCATACAACATTTGGCTCCTTGGCGGAGCTAAAACCACAAGGGTTCTTTGTAATTTGTAGTCTTTACACACGACTTGGAAAGTCTTTTTATGATTGTATTCTATGGGAGGAAGTTTCCTTGTTCCCTTTTGTCGCATTGATATAATTCTCGATCACTTCCCATCAAAGAGAGAAAAGAAGGAAAAACCATTTCCTCCATGGTTGACGTGCTTTCTACTGTTTTCACTTAGAAATTTTATATTTTTAAAGTTCAAACTGATCTCTTTTCTCATGCTTCTTTAATACTCGGATTCGTTAAAATTTTTGAAACGTACTTGCCTAATATTCTAGTTGTGATTATGACTTAAAATTTAATTTGAATGAAAGCAATATAGTTTGTAAGTATCTTATGTTTTTGCATGATGCTCTTTTGAGATGCAGGTTAATGATATTTACCATGCTGATAAATGCAAGATAGTTCCTGCAAAATTTTCAGGCTCGAAAGAAATTGTTCAGCTTCATTTTCGTAAGATTGTAAGTGATTAAGCATGCATATCAAGATCTTGATTGAAATTTTAAATTAGGCATTGTAAATATTTACTTTTGATAAAGCGTGGGGTGCATATCAAGATCTTGAATGAGCGAACTTATTTTTTATTTTTTATTGAACGTCAAAATATATAGTGGAAAATGTCAATCAGCAAGCATTTATGTACGAGGACCACTTTTGATGGTAGATGAATGTTTACAATTATCAACATAATAATAAACTAATCTAAGATCAATCCTGATAATAACCTTCTACTAACCTAGTTAAACAACTCAAACAAATAAGAATACAAATTATTTTTGATTTAACTAGCAAGTATACATCAGATTGTCTTCTTATTGTTTGTTATGGAGACCATTATAATTACGAGGGTGAAATGAGTTCTACATGGACACCGAAATTTAAAAATTATGAATTTTGGATGGAACAGATTTTACTTCAAGATATTTGTCCCATGGGTAATTCTTGTAGTTTGTTAGCTTTTTTCTCTTTTTTTTTTTTTTGTTCCTTTTGTTTTGGAATTCTTTTTATTTATTTACTTTTTATTTCCATTGTATTTTTGGATTATTTATTGGTTCGTGCGCATCATCCTTGTGCAAGGGCATTGTTAATCTTCTCCATATCATTCCAATTCCAATTTTATTTGATTGCATATTCTTTCATTGAGAAATGAAAACTGGATTTTCATAGAAAAGGGAAGAACTGTTTCTTCGGGTGTACAGTCTTCCCTGCACTCTGATTCTGACTTTGTTTTTCAAAATTCTAGTATCTGTTCTTTTCATTATCAGTCACCTTAACTCTTTGCTTTGCAGCTGGCAGGTTCTGCATCTGCAGTGGATACTGAGGAGATCTACTTTGATTTCAGAAAACAAAGATTTATTTATTCGAAGGAGAAGGAGACTTTCTGCAAGCTTCCTTACCCAACAAAAGAAACTGTTGGTTATTATCTAAAGAACACCGGCTATGGCTCTGAGCCTAAAGTTGTAGCTGCTGTTGAAAAATGGGGACGCAATATGTGGGTTTTCTTTTGCGATTCACTTTTACTCTTATTACTTTGTGCTTTGGTTAAATGTGGATGTTTTACAATTGACTGCTGCATGCTTGAATGGCTTGATAATGTTATACATCTGTGGAGTAGCAAAGATAAAGTTTCTATAATACATTTTACATATAATGTACACCATTCCACTTATTTGATTGAGTAACTTGAGTTCTCCTGATAATGTTTGCTTGATATTTATCATTTAGAAGGAATATGTTGGACCAAGAAAACCCTGAGTAGTATCAGTTAACAGTTGGACTTCATTAGACTTTTGATGTCAGGGAAGATAGGGAGAAAATGATTACTACATGCTTCAGGGCATTTTTCATGCAAACCTATGTTTCTCATCTTTTACTTGGTTCGTCTCTTAACCATTTTTTCTATACACTTTTGGATTAAAAAATACTCAAGAAGGCCATTTGTGGATTTCTACTGCAAATGAAGTTTCCGAAACGTGTACACATCATTAGAAGGGCTTTCGGTAATTTTATGAGACCAACCTCTTACTTCTCACCAAAATTTCGTGTTTGGGTATCTGGTGTCTTTAACATTCATTAAAAAGTCTGTCATTATTCCTGTATTATAAGCCTCCTTTATTATTATTATTATTATTGTTTTGATGAGAAACAACGTATTAAGAACGAAAGAGGAGGAAACAACTTAAGGCTGGGGTGGAGGAAATTTTCTTCCAAAAGAACTGAAGAAGAACAGCCTTCCAATCGTTAATAATCTTTATTCAGAAACTACCTGTGGAGAGATGACACACACCTTGTTCAATGGAATATTATAAACCTCCCAACAGAAAAGGGAGGCCTCGGTCTTTTCTTGATAAAGAAGAACAAAGCTCTCCTCGGCAAATGGATATGGAGATATCATCACGAAGAAAAGGCTTTGTAGAGAACTCTTATAAAGGTCAAATATACTTTTACATTGAACAAAAACCAACCCCCTCCATCTTTTATAAAAGGGTCTTGGAAGTACATAAAAAAACATCAAAATCTCATCACCAACCGAACTTGCCATAGGGTGGGTGAGGGAGAAAGCACATCATTTTGGATCGACCCATGGATTGAAAACACCATGTTAGCCCTGAGGTATCCACTTTTATAGAGGCTCTCTCATAGCAAAAAAGCCACAATCAAAGAAACTTTGAATGTTGTCGACAAATTATGGGACTTGAAGCTTGTAGGAATTTAAAGGATAATGAAGCAACAAAATGGACTGAATTAAGCCTTGACCGCCCTATGGTATTGTCAAATGAAGCAGACTCACTGACTTGGCTCCCCAGCTCTGATGGGGTCTTTTCTACAAAATCCTTGATGATGAACATGGGGAAAAAAGTAGAAGTAATAAATCTCACGCTAGCAAAGACAGCAAAGACAGTATGGAAAGGACATCAACCTAAAAAGGTAAAGTTCTTCATTTGGAAAATAGCGCATAAAGCCATTAGCACAAGTGAAAATCTTCAAAAAAGAATGCCTTACATAACTCTTTCTCCAAATTGGTGTCTGTTATGTAACAAAGAAAACGAATCACAAAGCCACTTATTTATGCAATGCACATACACTCAAAATTTTTGGACAATGATTCTCAATATATTCGGATGACATCTCGCATTTCCTAGGGAAGTGAAGTATATGACATCTCATCATGGCTTTCTTTTGGAATATGTGGAAAGAAAGAAAATAGAGAATATTCGCATAAAAGACACAGACTTATATACAAATTTTTTTGACAATGTTGTTTACCAAACTATATCTTGGTGTAAACTGTCCAATATTTTTACTTCCTATAGATATACCTCCCTCATTGCAAAATGGGAAGGTCTTTGTAAACACCAATAATTATATGGATTTTATTATTGGATGCGAGGAATTGAACTTGTGGAACCTGATCCTTGTTACAGAATTATTATCTTTAATAGTTTGTTTAATGCTCTTTTTCTCTTCATTTTTTGCTTTACAGATTTGAGTATCCACAGCCTACGTTCGTGAAATTAATGAAAGAGCAGTGTATGGAACCATTTTTTGTGTTTCAGGTTGACTCTATTTTATCCAAGGGATTTTGTGTTTACTTTATAGTTTCCTTCCCTTCTCTCTCCCCCTCTCTCCCCCTCTCTCCCCCCCACCCCAGCAACCCCACTTGATTTGTTTTAAGAGGCATTTTTTTTTTTTAAATATTCCTCTTACGGCTGTACCTTTTCTGCCTTATCCAGGTTTTTTGTGTGGGGCTATGGTGTTTGGATGAGTATTGGTATTACAGCCTGTTTACTCTGTTTATGCTGTTTATGTTTGAGTCAACAATGGCAAAAAGTCGGTTAAAGACCTTAAGTGAGTTAAGGCGTGTTAGAGTGGATACTCAGACCTTAATGGTGCATCGTTGTGGAAAGTATGTCATTTTTACCACTTGGACTATTTATCTTGTTTTTTTTTTCCCTGACTCTGCTTCTTGACATGTAAACGTGATGGTGTAACTTAGGTGGGTGAAGCTACCTGGAACTGAGCTTTTGCCAGGAGATGTTGTCTCTGTTGGACGTGATTCTGGTCGGAGTGGTGAAGATAAGTCTGTACCTGCTGATATGCTTATCTTGGCTGGAAGTGCTATTGTTAATGAAGCCATTCTTACTGGGGAGTCTACACCACAATGGAAGGTGTTTCTTCTTTTATTTATTTTTTATTTTTCTGTCCCACCCCCCCCCCAAAAAAA